AACAAAACAATAGTCAATGGTTAAGAAGGATCTTAACAATATTGTACTAGTTAAGTGAGGGAAGTATCTACACCAGCAGTAAATGTGATTCATGAAAACTGCTTTCACCAAGAACAGGGACCTTGAAGAAAAATACAGAAGACAATATGAATTTAAAAAGTTTTATTTCTAGTTTGAATATTGCAAATGGCTGGATGTGTTAAGTGTCTTGTAAGCCACCACACCTCAGCTTCACCAAAATGTAGGTGAGCAGATTTGCTGCTATCATGGTTTGGGTAAGTTCCCTGTTATCTTCCAACACACCCCATGCTGGCTGAACCAACTCTCCAGAAATAGTAACACCATGATAAACAAGCAATTGAGGACTTTTTCCAAGTTTACAAAGCCTCATCTTCACACAAGGGGACTTATGTGGATTCAAGAAGCTTATACAAACCCAAGATGCAGTTGATCAGAGTTTGAAACCTAAGTCTCCCACGCTTCACTACCTCACATACTGTACCAGTACTTTAATTGCTATGTGGGTCATAAAACACAAAATTATGATGTAAATCCCAAGAAATAGCCCTAGACATACCCCTTGGACATTTTTCAGTTGTACATTTCAAACACGATTTATTTCCTCCTTCTTTATAGCCTGCTGGGCAGACTTTCGCACACTTCATTCCAAGTTTCAAGTAACCATCAGGGCAGTTATCTATGCATTTGAACTCATCAATCTGAAAGTAAAATAACAATCACACTAAAAGGAAAATCTCACTAAATTAAATTAAGCTTTACTCCACACTCTTCTTTATAGTATATATTTCTTAAACAGCTGACAAGGACAATCTATTTAACAATGAAGAGTGTCTGTGTCTTTAGTTGGTGATCATTTCCTTTACCCTCCTCACCTCAGTGTGTGATTCAGGGGTGAACTTGTAGGAGATATTAGATGCTAGTCACTTTAAGAGGTCAACAATGGCTACCACACTAGTGCAGTGTGTTTAAGAAGTGATCTTCCTGAAGAATTTTGTCACAAAAAAATTCCAACCAATTTCCTATGCAATAGAATGGACTTGATCAGGTGATAAACCCTGTTGCCTTTCTTCATGGATATGATAATACCCGATATTGATGGCAGTTCTTTGATCTTGATCACTGTTTGGGATTAATATAGCTCTCTGCTGAATTCACTCGAATATGAGTTTAAGCATTGTTTTGCATTCATCTATGTTGCACTTCACTTGCCAGTTTTTGATCATTCAGTGAGGCAAAATAAATCTGTCAGTAGACCACCCCTACCCAGCTTTTATTGAAACTCCTCATATTTTAGATATCCCAACAGCTCAGACATGCAGTTGAGCACTTGCTGGGGACTGGGATTTCTGTTTTCTTACAATTAATGAATGTTCCAACAAACTAACTATGGTACAGTTACTTAACCACCTTTCACACTTTAGAACATTGCAACCAAATATCATGAAAGTACAGTAATTCTCTGTACCTCATACAGACCAGGGCCACATTTCTCAACACACTCCCCTTTTGGCATACGGAAATTTCTGCAGGCATAACAGTGATGTGGTGAGTTGGTTTTGGTACATCCTCCCAGACACTGTTTGTCACAACATGAGGTGCTCTTTCCCATCAGACCTCCATTTACACAGCCTGAGTCACCACACTTCATGTCACACACTGACAAAAGAAAATGCACTAACTTTAAAATCAAACATTTTGGTTTGTTTGTTTCATGCACTCAACAAATAAGCCATTTGAAAATGAAAGAGGCTCACAGAGACACTTTAGTGAGTACCTGTCCAAAAGAGCATTTCATACCAGATAAACACAGACAGAGAAAATAACAAAATACTGTGCTATTAATACATTACACAATATAGAGGCGCTGAGTCAAAATTAAATTATCCTTACTCTTGAGGACTGGTTTCTATGGTCTGGATAATTGCAAGTCCCAATAATAAAAAATATTAATGTTACTGAGACAAAAATAAAACAGAACAACTTCAGAGAGAACACATATTAATGGTATGCAAGAATTTAAGCATATTTTAAAATCATTGCACATAAACTGTTACAATTCGCTGAAAGTATTTACAAAAATTTATTAGGGCTGACCAACAATGTTTTACATCAACCTAAAATGCTGACAAAAATCAGCTTCAAGCTGCTGTAGTGCACACAGGTCACTACATAATTCTTTTTAGGGTGCCAAGATAGGTGAATAGTGTCATCACTTTTTTGTCTTTCCATCCATGTTAAACACTTTGTGATACATTCAACAGCTTCAAAAACAGAGCAAATTCAATTCCAGTGGAAGTTTCATTACACATGTTGTGTTTGATAGAAGAAAGTTGTTACTGATCTTGAATGTGATGTATCAATATTCATGAAAAGATGGGACCAGAAGGGCAAGTCTGAATAATCGAAAACTCTGGATCCATCAATCAAGGTCCACATAATTACTATTATAGTAAAATACAATCCATAGGTAACATGTAGCACACAAAGTCTTTCCTAATATAGATCATCTGACAGATCAGTAAACAGTTGTCAGATATGTTGGCTGCTAAATAAGTAAAGGGAGCAAGTTTCTCAAGAAACTGTGATGCTGCATCAGGGCGAGACTGAGTATAATCTGGTAATTAAGTATTATCAATTGAGTTGATAACGTAAATTGGCCACCATAAAGAGTTTCAAAGCTGATGTTTCCAGCTGCATATATCAGTTGACATATCAGTTGACATATCAGTCGACAGTTGCTAGATAAGTTAGTTGATAAATAAATAGAGGGGGTAAGTTTTCGAAAAAACTATGGCGCTATGTCAGTGGAAGGGTATAACAGGGTACTTTGGTATTATCAACTGAGTTGATAAGGTAAATTGGCCACTGTAAAAAGTTTCAAAGCTGATGTTAAGAGCAGCAGTTTGTTGATCTCTCAGTCCATACATATGTCAGCTGATAAAGTTTTTGGTTTACTGATATTTTATTGATACTTGACCAATATTTGAGCTATACTTCCACTTCTGTTAGAAATCGATTAAATAAACACTGAAAGAAGGAAAGTCTAAAAGTCTTGATCTTCAGCCGAAAGGATCTCATTGTTGTTATTGAAAATCTTTAAAAAAATCAATTCATCCCTTATTTTTTGGGAAAAGAGAAAAGTTTTGGGGACAAAAGCTGCAAAATTTGCCATGCAACAGCTTACTTGTCTTTTGTTTTCCAACAGTTTGATCAGCTACTTTAAATAAGCCTTAAAATTTGATTGGCTATTTTGTTTTAGTATTGCATTTTCACTGGCTGGGAAAACTGCAATTTAAAGCAAAAAATAGCACCATTTGTGGATAAATTGCTAGAGACCCATTAGATTGCACAGCTCACCAGTGATTACAAAACATATTTAACAAATAATGGTAATTGAACTAAGTGAAGTACAATTTTGGTCAGAAAACATATTTTGTGATTTCAAATGAGACTTGTGCTTCTTGCTCCATTATGAAATCAAAGGTATGATTTCAGACCAAATTGTGCTCCAACCAGTTCAATTACCCTACAAAAAGAGCATCCTGGTATTTGAGGGTTCTTGTGTGATACTTGTTTTCAGTAAAATTGTGTAGTACAGAGCATTATATCATAAAAATGATTGTGCAGGCCTTCATGGGGACAGAGGTTACAAATTGCCATTCAAATGGTAACCTTCAAAAGAAAACCTGTTGAGTGTTTCTAATCAATCAATCATATGAAAAAAATGTCTGCTTACCCACTTTGATAAGCTACCACAAATATTTGACCTCTATGAACTTCTTGACAAAAGCAGTAACATTATTAGTGAGCTAATTAGATAATTGGCAGAGTCTTAGGACATTATTTTGTCATAATTTGATTGCTAGAAAACATAAAAAGCCATGGAATCGAATAATATATCCGTTTTAATCGCCAAAGAGACATGCAAGAGTCCTATTAGTTCGCCAAAACAGACGTGAGAGTTTTTCCTGTTCGTAAATATTGGTTTCCCACAGGAAAAAAAATCGCAAAAACGCCAAAATCGCCAAAGCAACGGATGAGAATTGCGTACATTTTCACACACATATCAACTATACATTCCTTTCAAGTTTACCAGCAAAACTTTACAAAACGTAAATCATCGAGCAATATTTATAAGCTTTTAATTGAAGCTTATAATTAAGCAACAACAGAGACATTTGAATGAGCAGTCAGAATAACAGGGTTCTTCGGAATAAATTATCTTTCAATTCATGTGTGTGATTTCCACATCAATCTCAAGCCATAGAATGCGAAAAAAAACATTTTTACTCACATGCCTGACAATCAGCGTTTGAACCTGCACCCGGTGCCCAACAGTACTGATTTGTTAAACTCCCGTGGCCAGCAGGAGGCGTACATTTTTGTTGGAAGCATCTATCATAGCAATCATTATTATTTGAGTTCAAAACCAAGGTGTATTCATCGACCTTCGTATTCCTCATAATCGACTTCCATCGTATAGTTTCGACGTAACATAAATTGATGTTTTTCTCGATGCGAACGCCACCTCGAAGAATCGTAGTCAACGAGGGAAGATTCACTTCCTCCAATCCGTCATTCTGATAAATGATGAGCGAATAATCCAGAAACACTTGGCGCCCTCGAATCACGGCAAGGTTTGGAAAAATCTCTCTTAAGCTTCGCCTACCGTACATCAGGGAAACAAGCAAGTGTCCAGTAATTTCAGTTAACTTCGGAAACTGGAGTTGTTTCATAACTGCATCGCTAGCCTTTCTTACCATTTGAACTTGTATGCTGCCTTCCAGAGTTGTACAATTTTCCAATTTTTCGCAGCCGTCGCATTTCTCGTTAGAAATTTTCAAAACCACCTTCCCGGCTGTAGTGTGCGACTTACAAACTAGAGATAAAAAATACACACCATCAGAAATGTTGACATGGCAATAAACGAATCTACCGACTACTAGCTGTGAAAACTCGTGTTGGCTTCTCGCAGTTTCCGATCAATTTTGGCACCAGAATACTCACGTTTAAAATATGCTTCCCCTCCACCGAAGAATCCACAACAGCTTAACGTCAGCAAAATAGTAAAAATCAGGGCTTTCCTCATGATTCCCACGACAAAGACTGAAAAATTTACGAATCAAAAATGACAATCGCTGGCACTTCTAAGGCACCGAAGCATATTCTGACATCAAAGTCACAAGCAATATTTACTGTTTTGCTTTAAACAGAACAAACG